AGAACTGATTTGTTCAAGAATCATATGAACATTTTAACTAAAATAAAAGCAAATACTCCCTCCGGTCCCAAAACAACTTCATGGTTTGACTTCACACTTTTTGAGAAAGTGGAATTTTTTGTTTTGACTTTCCCATTATGGCCTAAAAAGTAGATAAAGTGTGTAGTTGGAGTAGAGCTTTCAAACGGGTCAACCCGACCCGACCCATGACAGGTTATGCATATTATGTGGGTTGGATCGGGCTAACCCATTTAGTGATGGGCCTGGATTTCTACAACCCTAACCCGACCCACCTAACTTGTGGGTTAGACAGTTTGGCCCACGGGTATGAAACACTTCCGGTATGAAAAATAAACAATGCTGAGATACCAAAAAAGATCAACTTTAAACATCTTTAATTAGTTTAATATGTAAATGACCTAATAAATTAAAGATATTTGGTAATTATCATTTTACTTCAAACTTTTCTCCCTTCTAGCATGTAGCTAATATTGGGTAATTTGCTTCTGTAAACTAGGAAGAAAAATGTCCAACGGTAATGAGAAGAAAGACCCTGTATGTAACCATTTGAGATGCACTTAAGTGAACACACTGGTATAAAACAGAAAAGTGAAAAGAGCAATAATTTCAAATTTTATGTGTAACATAAAAGAAGTGATACTATATTTTTCGTAGTACTCCCTCCTTTTTCAGATGCTTTAAGAACTCTTTTTACAATAATTTTAGAGTACGTATGCCTAAAAAAAGGATTAGAAGTGGGGTACCTCAGCCTTGGAAACTTTAACACACATTTCCCTGAGTTTGCTCGCATTGTTTGAACCTGTGTCGGGTATGAGTTGAGCAAGAACTTCCGGAGAAGCAGGCCTGACCTGTAAATCGTCAGTGATTAAGAACTCTATTCCTCCCTTCAAAAAGGCTCCCACATGACTCGAGGCTTTGGGAGAAGGGAGCGTGGATTTCGAATATCCACATTTGCAGCTAATATTTTGGTAAATGGTTTGATATTTGCAGTTCCTGGAGTTAATACAGCAGTAAGTGAATTCGGAGCCAGAATCATCAATATTAATCTTCAAATTTTTGCAGATGACCGAAAGGGGATTTCTGGGATTGAGAACCATTTTCTTGCAGTGTTCTGTCTGCCAGTACTCTCTGCTTAGGTTTTGAACACCTTGGTATATATTGTTCATACACCCTATTGCTACTACAGGTTTAGTTTTCTCCTCTGCAGAGCTGCTGGTAATGAGCCGGATAATGGTTCCCATCGGAAAGGTGAGAAAGCTGAAAAGTATATCCACAAAATCTTTGTTTGCTTCCGCAGCCACTACTCGCTTTATCTTGTCATCTACCCACAGCTTCAGGGATACTACAACGGGCTCTTGCGTGACCGCCGCCATGAACTCGGCACCTTTAGGCGTAAGATTCTAATCAGGCAAAGGAAAACAGAATTGATCGATCTGGCAACACAATTATTTAAAGCGCAGATTGAAGAAGCTGAAAAGGCATTTTGTTTTAAATTTGAAATCCACTGGTAATGGAGTAGTTTATCTTTCGGGACACTGAATCGTCAAATTTTGAATTTGAAACGCATTGATGTGCTTACTACGGACCTTTTGTTTTCTTTTACTATTCTCCGATCAACGTGTATCGTTATTAATCTTTTATTTTATATATCAAAATTTTATCAAATTTAAATTTTCTTACCAGATTTTGTAGCGGTTTTAATGTAGTTTCTGAATATATATAAAAAACTATTAAAAACTAAAAATTTGACGGTTTTAGTACCTTCGTTATGCTCATTTTAAAATGTTATATCAATGCATATTTCAAAAGTCTCACATTACATTAGATTCACATATAATTTGATTATAGACACGAGACCACAAATCATGATACTCAATAGCACGATTCTAATACTCAATAACGTAGGTTTGATGCCCACTGAAAATGTCTTGATGCTCAACGAACAAAACTTACAATTTTTATATCAATGTCCATCTTATAAGTTATATATGCTCATTTGTATAGGTCTGATGCTCATTAAAAATTCATTAATGCTCATTTAACATTAAGATTTTATAAGGTTGATTCTCATTAAAAATTCATTAATGATCTTATAAGGTTTGATGCTCATTGAAAACGTCGTTATGTCAAACTAACAAACTTTACGATTTTCATATCAATTAACATTTTGTAAGTTACGTATGCTCATTTTGTATTGATGTTATGCTCATTTTAAAATGTCATATCAATGCATATTTCAAAAGTATCATATTACACTAAATTCACATATTGAAATTCATAAGAGTGTATTATAAATATAATTTAATAAGTTTTTATAAAAGAAAAAATAAGAAAAAGAACAAAAATTAGAAGATATGAAGTTGAGATCGTGTTACTCATTGTTAGCCTCGTAATACTCAATAAAATAGGTTGGATGCTCACGAAACGTACAATATTGCTCATTTAGCGGAAGCCGTGAATTTTCGCTTAAATTACAAATATGTCATCGAATTTTTTTTGGCCTGTATTAGTGATTGGGCCGTCTTTCTTACTTGGGCCGGGTGTACGTACACCCGGATGCACTATATACGAACTCTACAATTTATGGATGACATTTACACATTTCAAAATACGAGAACTACAATTCAATACGGGCAAATAATATTCGAGGGGAGTTCCTATGCTATACACCCGGCTGTATATTTATAACCAAGTTTTTTTGTAATTTGTTTATTTATACTTTACTCTCTAAAATCTTTTTTAACATATTGTGAATGTACACTTGCTTCACCCTTAATTAAGTCCCCAGCTCACGTTCTTTATTTCATTTTCTTTTATATTTATATTTATATTCTTGAATTTTAATTGATAAGAGTATTTAAAATTGAATCTTGTGAACTCAAAAAAAAATTGGATGATGATTTGAATAAAAAACAAACATTTTCCTCTTCGGTGCAATTTCTTTTAAATTGATTTGTTACCAATTGTTTGGAAAAATTACAAAATGAATTTTCGCCTCTTTCTTGATCAAATATCCGACTAATTGATGCACTTGTATAATATGCTAATATATGTAAAAAAAAATCTTTAAAACTCTTGTGACTAGATTCTCTAATTATTTTCTAATTTTATACTATGAATTTGATGTTTAGAGAACTTGTAAAATGATTGGAATATGCTTTTCAATGATTTTATGATAAATCAGATAATATAGCTAATTTTATTAATTTGAATGGTTATATGTTCATTCAATTCAACAACATCAAAGCCTTATGACACATTTTCTTTACGGGTTACTAAGGCTATGTTTGGCAGAACTAGCTGGAACTAGAGACTAATTAAAGGCTGAATCAAGGACTATTGTCTGAATTAAGACTATTGTCTGAAGCTGAACTTTTAAGTGATGGATCTGAAATGTGAGCTGGATGAAGTAGACCTGTTTGGATACAAGAGCTGAATGAGTTCCGAAAAAGCGTGAAATTACATTAAAGGGCAAAATTTCTATTAAAAATTAACCGTTTTCTAATAATGTTATAGATATGAAGTATATGATTATATATATATATATATATATATATATATATATTTAATTTATTTTTTTATTCAAGAAATTTTATTTCTAGAATTTGTTAGCCATTGTATGTTGAGTGTTCGCTTTTTAGCAACCAAAAGCAGCAATGCCGTATCATTTTTCTGTCGCTTCCCATATCGATGGCCATAAACAGCATCACAAAGAGGAAAATAGGAATAAACAGGCGAGGCTCAAATAGGAATAAACAGGTTGGCTGAGGTCAAACGCGTCTCCTCTAAACGTTTCAATTCAGTTAATTTTTTTCAGTTCAAGTCTACATAAGTTTTACATCCGAACAGTTCCAATTTAAAAATTATTGACTGGATGTATACCATTTCAGCCTATTATTAGCTGAAATGGTCTAACGAACATAGCCTAAATGGTGTTTATTAAGACCCGCGTTAATAAGCGGTGCATAAGCTAAATATATTCTTGTAAGCTCATGTTTACTTCAAATGATTTAAAACACGGTTTAGGGTTTAGGGTTTAGAGTTTATGGTTTAGAGTTTATGATTTTGGGGTTAGGGTTTAGTTATTAATTTTGATATATATTTTAAGGCTAAGAGAGATACTTTTTATACATATTGGAGCAAAATAAATAAAAAATATAGCCATTACAAGTTAAGAGAGATTTTTTTAATAATGGGGCCCATCCTTGCACACTTAGACATTGCATTGCACGGACATTATTTTACACGTAAGAGCATCTCCAATGCTAAAATATGCACGTTGCATATGTGGCTTGAAGGATGACCACATAAAGATTGGTAAATAAATCATCTCTCTCCTTATTTGAATGATTTTATTCAACTTTGGTAATTTTTTATAATAATGTCAACTACAATGTGTACATCTAAATGGTCTCCTCCACTATTCTGTCGAGTCGAGGTGTGGGGCCTCCTGAGGTGGGAGATTCCAACTTTTGGAACAACTTAAGTGACGGCTATGTCTAATCAAGATTTCAACTAGTAGTATTTTTTTGAGAAAATAATTACATATATCCTACTAAAATAAAAATTGTTTTTAAAAATGTGACTAGTGACTACAATAGTGTGAAATTATAGTAACTTATGTTCTATTTTTAAACTCAAATTATCATGACACTATATGTATTAACTATTAGTCAATAAATATTGTTTTTTTTCTAAAAAAACTATTAATCATTTTTTGTAAATAAATTTTATTTTAGTACGGAGTACTATTTCTTAAAAACCCCTTTATTTAATTGGTATTAACTAGACAACCTCCACTTTTTTTTGTTGGGAACCCTCAAAAAGGGACATATGGGCAGGACCAATTACCCCAATTCCAAGGCAGTTCATATTCCATCAAGATTGACCATTCGGTGCCCGAGGAAGGCCTTAGATCTGCCACTTAAATAAATACTTGTGGACTTCCGTTAAGCAGAAGAACTTAGTCCTGTTTGGTGTGTTAAGAGAAAATGGCGGCGGTCAAGGTAGAGCCAGTAGTAGTACCCCTGAAGCTGTTGGTAGATGAGAAGAAGAATCGAGTATTGGCTGCGGAAGCAAACAAAGACTTCGTGGATATACTCACCAGCACCTCTGCAGAGCCCAAAGCACGAGTACGTATAGGGTGCATGAATAAGTTATACGAAGGTGTTCAAAAGCTAAGCAGTGAGTACTGGGAGAATTGAATGAACACTGTAAAAACATGCTTCTCAATCCCAGGAATTCCAGTGCGAAATACTGCAAGGAGTTGAAGATTAATGTTGATGATTCTGGGTCTGAAGTCACCTACCGCTGTTCCGGCGCGCGCTGTCCATATTCTAGCATGTACAAAAATGTGAGATGCAAATGCGGCAAGGGGATAACCGCCGTAGAACGGCAGTCATCTTGTTCCACCAATGCCTCAAGTGATGAGGGCGCCTTTTTGAAGGGAGGAATAATGTTCATAATCAGTGATGATTTGCATATCTGGCCTTCCTCTCCCACGGTTCTTGCTCAGCTTATACCGGACCTTGGTTCCAGAGATGGGACTAGAATCCGGGAGATGCAAGTTCAAGTTTCTAAGGCTGAGGTGAGATGATGGGAGGAATAAATCCGATTTAAACTACTCCGTACTAGTATCAAATTAGAAAAACGTCAAAATAAAAATGAAAAGAAGCTTAATACGTAGTTTGTGTTGGGTGTGTTTCGGAAAATAAAGAAAATTAATTAAAATAAATTAATTAAATAAAATGACTAGAGAAAAACAAGAAAGGAGATGAAGCAGAATTAGCCAAAGTTCGTGCTACGCACGATTTCCTTAAAACGTATTTGTTGCCTCTCACGGTGCTAGGAGCGATGCAACAATCGTTTCCCAGGATACGATGACTACGAACTAATGTGTGAGCACACAAACAAGAGTTCCAGCGAACGAGAACCAAGTATGAACACAGAGGAAATTTGGGAGTAGCTGGAAGAGTTTTTAGCTCAAGAAAACGTGAGGAAAGTGTTGTGCGTTGTCAAACCGTGCGTTTGTTGCAAAGCACTTGCCAGCTATTTATAGGACGATTTGTTGTGAGTTAAATGGGGTGTTAATGGACCTGAACGTTGGACATCAATGACCAGTCCGTTGGGCATTGAATCGTCCATAAACTGTCCATTTAACGCTGCATTAAAAGAGAAGAACGTTGGACATTAATAGTTGTAACGGAAAATATGCGTGACAGAAGACCCCAACAGAACACCCCTTGGAAGGGTTCTGTCCGAAGCCAACAGAACATCCCTCGGAGGGGTTCTGTCCATAGCCAATAGAACTCCCCTTGGAGGGTTTCTGTTCGAGGCCTTCTGCCCGAAGCCAACAGAACCCCCTTGGAGGGTATCTCTTGAGAAATAGATTTTTGGACGGCATTTGTGTCCGCAGGTCGCCCGCGCACACGAGTCGCGGTTTTTCTTCTCCGTTTCGGGATTTGATCGGCACCCCCCCCCCCCCCCTGCGCGTAAGAGAGAGTCTTTCCCTTTAGGAATCTTAACTCCTTAAAAGAGGCTTCCCTTTAAAAGGGGGTGAAAATCCCTTGAGTTTTTCGGTGTGGGATAAAACACACTAGAAACTCACCATTTTTCCAAGTTTTTCCATTTCAACGAGTGAACTTCGAGAATCAATTTCTCATTCACCCGTTATCCGTTTTGAGCGTACCATATATCGAATTGTAGCCCTTAACAAGGACAATCCGTAACCACTTTGACCCGACCCAAATCGGAAGTGGACCCCACTCAAATAATTGCCCCAAAATGACCATTTAATGCAATTTTTAACACATTTTTCCAACAATCCCCCACATGAATGAAAATTGATTTTTCGAGACTTAAAAGATACGAAGATAGGAGGACACGTTGTGTTCACCGGATGATCCTTGCATACGGAGAGGTATTTTTTATCCTTTGAACCTTCCGTTGTAAAGACACGTTTATTTACTGGCTGTCTAGTAGACTCGATGTCCTTGAACTATACTGCCGTCGTGTAAACATTGACTTATCATTACACAAGAACCTTCCAACTTTGTTCCGTTCTCATGGGTGTGCCCGTTTTGGCCATGGGTCACCGTCCTGGTTCTGCAAGAGTTTCTAAAGAACTGAGCCTTTACAGTTCTCCTTTGAAGCGGCCCTCTTCTCTCTCAAATAGGTGATTCTTTCACGAGTATCCCGCATACTCTTCCAATGTTATCGAGTAGATCAACATTATAGAATCATTAAAGCAAACGTTTTTGCTAACCTCGTGCGGGAGTCACTGTTTTAACGAGGAGTGGGTAGGAGTCCGGGACCCCCACAGTGACCATCCTTCGCTCTATAATTTAGTTGTCCCTTTTGAACCTAGGACCAACTAGGTTGGGTATCCAGTATAGAACTTTTCAATTCACGGGCTTTAGTCCCATTCCTCGTGACAACTTCTCCAACAATTCTCTATCCAATGCCTTGGTTAGCGGATCCGCTATGTTATCCTTTGACTTCACGTAGTCAACAGTGATAACACCCGTTGTGAGGAGTTGTTTAATGGTGTTATGTCTATGACGAACGTGTCTAGACTTATCATTGTAGAGATTGCTCTGTGCCCTTCCAATTGCCGCTTGACAATCGCAATGAATGCATATTGGAGGGACAGGCTTCTCCCAACTTGGAATATCCTCGAGAAAATGGCGTAGCCATTCAGCCTCTTCAGTGCACTTATCCAAGGCTATTAGCTCAGATTCCATCGTGGATCTAGCTATTAACGTTTGTTTCGAGGATTTCCACGACACGGCTGCACCTCCCAAAGTGAAAACATATCCACTTGTGGATTTAGAGTCCTTTATGTCGGATATCCAACTAGCGTCGCTATACCCTTCAAGTACAGCTGGATATCTTCCATAGTGCAGTCCAAGATTTTGGGTTTTACGTAAATACCTCAAAACCCTTATTATTGCCTTCCAGTGTTCATCACCGGGGTTGCTAGTATATCTACTTAGCTTACTAACCACAAAGGCAATATCAAGCCTGGTACAACTCATTAGATACATCATACTTCCAATAATCCTAGCGTATTCAACTTGAGAAATACACTCTCCACGATTTTTGGTAAGATGAGTGTTTTTATCTAATGGCGTCCTTGCCTCTTGATAATCATCCTTATTAAATTTAGTAAGGATTTTATCAACGTAATGGGATTGGCTTAGCGTTAGACCGTCAGGTCCTCTAATTATTTTAATCCCAAGGATTAAATCGGCCAGCCCCATATCCTTCATGTCAAATTTAGAATTTAACATGTTTTTGGTAGAATTAATCATTAGATTATTGCTACTCACGATGAGTATATCATCCACGTATAAACATAAAATGACATAGCCGTCTACCGTGCTTTTCACATAGACGCATTTGTCACTTTCGTTTATCTTAAACCCATTAATTAACATTGCATGATCGAACTTTTCGTGCCACTGTTTAGGGGCTTGTTTCAATCCATACAATGATTTAATTAATTTACAAACCTTCTTTTCTTGGCTTGGAACACGAAAACCCTCGGGTTGTTCCATATAGATTTCTTCGTCTATATCACCATTTAGAAAAGCGGTTTTTACGTCCATTTGATGAACTTCCAAATTCCGCAAAGCGGCAATCGCTAGTATCATCCTAATGGAATTTATTCTCGTCACGGGAGAATACGTGTCAAAGTAATCATGGCCCTCGCGTTGCTTGTATCCCTTGATTACAAGTCTGGCCTTATACTTATCAATGGAACCGTCTGGTTTCATTTTACGTTTAAAAATCCACTTGGATCCCAAAGGTTTACATCCCAGAGGGAGATCAACCAATTCCCACGTGTGATTTTTTAGGATAGAGTCCACCTCACTTTTGATGGCTTCTTTCCACATAGGACCTTCAGTAGACGTCACGGCTTCCGTATAAGTCCGTGGCTCATTTTCTACCAAACATGTTAGAAAATCCGGTTCATTTTCTACCATACATGTTAGAATATCCGATTCAAATTCTACCAGGTAGGTGAGAAAATCCGGTCCGAAGGATTTTTCGACTCTAGCACGTTTGCTACGTCTGGGTTCGGGTTCTTCTCCGGATCCCTTGCTAGTATTTTCCATAGCTACGTCAAATGTTCGTTTTGACGTGCTTGGTCCTTCGTTGGACTTGCATGGAAATACGTCTTCAAAGAATGAAGCATTCCTTGATTCAATTATTGTGTTTTTATGTACATCCGGATTATTCGAATCGTACACTAAAAACCGATACGCACTACTATTTTGTGCATATCCAATAAAAATACAATCCACCGTTTTTGGACCTATTTTTATTTTCTTAGGTGTTGGTACAAGCACCTTAGCAAGACACCCCCACACTTTTAAATATTGATAGGAAGGCCGTCTGTCTTTCCACAACTCGTACGGAGTTTTATCATATTTTTTCCGGGAAACCTTATTTAAAAGGTAATTGCTTGTCAAGATTGCTTCGCCCCACATATTTTGTGGCAAGCCCGAACTTACTAGCATCGCATTCATCATATCTTTCAATGTGCGATTCTTTCGTTCGGCAACACCGTTTGATTGAGGTGAATAGGGTGCGGTACGTTCGTGTACTATACCCACACTAGCGCAAAAGTCACCAATTGGTGCTTCATACTCACCACCTCGATCACTCCTAACCGTCTTAATCCTTCGATTAAGTTAGTTTTCCACTTCATTCTTATAAAGAATGAATTTATCGATTGCTTCGTGTTTATTTTTTAATAAATACACGTAGCTATAGCGAGTGCTATCATCGATAAAGGTAATAAAATATTTATTACCGCCGCGTGTTTGTATTGATTTAAAATCACAAACGTCACTATGAATTAATTCAAGTGGTTCCGTTTTTCTTTCAACCGATTTGAAAGACGTTTTCGTTAGTTTTGCCTCTACACAAACTTCACATTTGTGCTTCACATCAATTGTGAATTTAGGAATGTGCTCCATGTTAATTAATCTACGTATAGAATTAAAATTAACATGTCCTAGTCTACCATGCCACACATTGGAAGACTCAAGCAAGTAAGCAGAAGGGATTTTATTATTATTATTAATAATAGTCATTACATTGAGCTTAAAAAGCCCATCACATGTATACCCCTTGCCCACATACATTCCCGACTTAGACAAAACCAGTTTGTCCGACTCAAAAACCATGCGGAAGCCATGCTTGTTCAACAACGAACCGGAAATCAGGTTTTTGCGTATCTCCGGAACGAACAGCACTTGGTTTAGAGTCAGCTCCTTGCCCGAAGTCATCTTCAGGACCACTTTGCCCACGCCTTCCACCGCGGAATGAGCAGAATTTCCCATCCACACCTTTTCACCATTTGATGGCTCAAAGGTCGTGAATAGCTCCCGGTTTGAGCAAATATGCCGGGTAGCACCGGTGTCCACGAACCACTCCTTGGAATTGGATCCAACGAGGTTAACCTCGGTCACCACAGCCGCTAGGATGATGTCTTCATCCTTTTGCCCACCTTGCACCAAGTTGACTTGAGAGTCCCTCTTCTTCTTGGGTGCCTTGCAATCCGCGTACTTGTGTCCGTTTTTATTGCAATTGAAGCATTTTCCATTGAACTTCGTCTTGGAAACGCCTCCCTTGGGACCAAGCTTGCTCTTCCCATTATTTTTATTTTTGGAGCTTTTTGCATGCTCCACCACGTTGGCCTTGGCGCCATGAACGATTGGGAGTTTCCCATCATTCTTCCGGTTATCCTCTTCAATCCGCAGACGGAGGATCAATTGCTCCAAGTTCATTTCCTTTCGCTTGTGCTTAAGGTAGTTCTTGAAATCCTTCCAAGCCGGAGGCAATAAATGAATAATTGACGCCACTTGGAATGACTCACTAACCGTCATTCCTTCATCTCGAATTTCGTTGAAGATCATTTGCATCTCCTCAACTTGACTCAAGACCGTCTTCGAATCCACCATTTTAAAATCAAGGAATCGACCAACAACAAATTTCTTTGCGCCGGCATCCTCGCTTTTATATTTGTGGTCCAAAGCATTCCATAGCTCCTTAGCCGTAGCTAATTTGCTATAAACGTCGTACAAAGCATCATGCAGCCCGTTCAACACGTAGTTTCAGCAAAGGAAGTCAGAATGCTTCCAAGCTTCAACCGCGTTGAAAGATTGCACATCCACCTCACCCCCGGTTGCTACCGGCGCATCTTCGGTCAAGAATCTAGCAAGACCGAGAGTAGTGAGGTAAAATAGCATCTTTTGCTGCCACCTCTTGAAGTTTAACCCGTTGAATTTCTCGGGTTTCTCCACAGAGTTGCTTGGCACGGTCACCATAGGGATAGCCCTTTGGTTGGCCAAAGCAGATGCACCGCGTTGTGAACTATTGTTCACCGGTGCTCCGCTTTCAGAGTGATTGTCGTTCAGAACATTCTGCCCAACACCAATCTCGTTTTCTTGAGAAGTCATTTTCGTTCTTTAACGTTTTTCTGAAAACACAAAAATTAAGTTCGTTCACCAAAGTGACAAACTACGTTTTTAGATTGTTTACCGCAGTACAACAACCAAGGCAAATACGTTTTAAGATTGTATCCGTATGATACAAGCTCAACAAATACGTTTTAAGATTGTTGGGTGTGTTTCGGAAAATAAAGAAAATTAATTAAAATTAATTAATTAAATAAAATGACTAGAGAAAAACAAGAAAGGAGATGAAGCAGAATTAGCCAAAGCTCGTGCTACGCACGATTTCCTTAAAACGTATTTGTTGCCTCCCACGGTGCTAGGAGCGTTGCAACAATCGTTTCCCAGGATATGATGACTACGAACTAATGTTTGAGCACACAAACAAGAGTTCCAGCGAACGAGAACCAAGTATGAACACAAAGGAAATTTGGGAGTAGCTGGAAGAGTTTTTAGCTCAAGAAAACGTGAGGAAAGTGTTGTGCGTTGTCAAACCGTGTGTTTGTTGCAAAGCACCTGCCAGCTATTTATAGGAGGATTTGTTGTGAGTTAAATGGGGTGTTAATGGACCTGAACGTTGGACATCAATGACCAGTCCGTTGGGCATTGAATCGTCCATAAACTGTCCATTTAACGCTGCATTAAAAGAGAAGAACGTTGGGCATTAATAGTTGTAACGGAAGATATGCGTGACAGAAGACCCCAACAGAACACCCCTTGGAGGGGTTCTGTCCGAAGCCAACAGAACACCCCTCGGAGGGGTTCTGTCCGTAGCCAACAGAACTCCCCTTGGAGGGTTTTTGTTCGAGGCCTCGCCCGCGCACACGAGTCGCGGTTTTTCTTCTCCGTTTCGGGATTTGATCGGCACCCCCCCTGCGCGTAAGAGAGAGCCTTTCCCTTTAGGAATCTTAACTCCTTAAAAGAGGCTTCCCTTTAAAAGGGGTGAAAATCCCTTGAGTTTTTCGGTGTGGGATAAAACACACTAGAAACTCACCATTTTTCCCAGTTTTTCCATTTCAACGAGTGAACTTCGAGAATCAATTTCTCATTCACCCGTTATCCGTTTTGAGCGTACCATATATCGAATTGTAGCCCTTAACAAAGACAATCCGTAACCACTTTGACCCGACCCAAATCGGAAGTGGACCCCACTCAAATAATTGCCCCAAAATGACCATTTAATGCAATTTTTAACACATTTTTCCAACAGTTTGCAACTTTGCAGGTCATCTTTCTGCTTGGACGCTCACTGGTGTCATATTCTCCCTTGAGCGATATCTTTGCACCTGAACATCCTGTTCTTATGAGACCGTGTAGCATTGGGACTACTTTTTCACCCGCTGGACTGCCTAAGACGAATGCCCACAATAATGGTCCTAGTCTAAATCTTAAAGTGAAGTTTCTCAAGTCTACAAAGGAGATATTGTTTGGTGAAGCCACAGATGAGTTCTTTGATTTCCTGTGTAGCTTTCTCACCACTCCTATTGGATCAATGATACATGTTTTGGAAGGGCAATCGGGTCTAAAATGCATGGATAACTTGTACAAAAGTGTGGTCTTGTTGGATCAGAAATGGTTTCGTTCACCGGAGAAGTGTGGCTTACTCCACCCCAGCACTGCTGAATATCACACCTGCAAGAAGCAGCCTCTCAAATTTGATAATAACCATTTTCGAAGTATTTATGCTATTAACCCCAAGGGCAGTAGTAATAATTTTGCGACGAAGCCATCCGAGTTCTTGGTTCCGGTTGATCTCGCCGTGAAGCCGCTCTCCACTTTCCTCTTGCTTCAAGAATTGAAGATTCCTCTCCGTGAAACTGAGGTGCAGTGTATCACTGTCGGCATTAAAGAGGTGATTGATTTATTAAGCATTATCTGTGATTTATTTTTCCACCATTCTCTCGAGTGGGAATCTGGGAGTGCCGAAGGGGATTCCACAAGCACCAACATTGAAAATTGAAAAGAATCTTCTGCTCCTGTCTTAAAAAATTTTCTATTTTCCTTTTATAGATATCCAAAATAAAATTTTTACTTCCATAAAAACCAACTTTTATTAATTAACAATTTTCCTTACTCTGTCTAGTTATTCCTTGATTTTACATAAATAAGGGTGAATTTCAAAAGTGAAAACAATTTTATTTTACATAGTTAAATCGGGAACTTTTATTTGGAACGTAGTGAGTGAAAATAAAAATATCTATCGTATATTTTTATACAAAAAAGCTTATGTACATAAGGACTAAAATAAATCTCCAAAGAAAATTTATTGAAAAAAGAAGAGTTTATGCCCTTTTGGTTGGGGAATTTCAGAGGGGAGATAAAGAAAAGGAGGGATATTTAGTTACTACCTCCGTCCCAAATTGATTTGCAATGTAAATTTTAGTTACTCTACCTTCATCCCAAAGTGATATTAATTTCTGAATATGTAAATTTTAATTATTAAAAATTGAGTCCTTTCAAAAAAAATTATTAAAAATTGAGTCAATTAGTGAAAGGGAACATTAATTTTTATTAGTGGTTGACCAAAAAATGTTGATTTTACAAAACAATTTAAGACGAAGGGAATATTAATTTATACTTACATTTAGTCTCTGAGAAAGATAATGAAGATAAAAAGTTGCACGGAAACAAATGATGACTAAACCAAACATTTTTTATAGTCTAGGTAAAACAAGCTCCGAGTGCATTTTCAGTTTTAAATTTTCAGTTTTAAAATTTACAATTTTAGAACTTATATATAGGTTTTATACTGAACTTAAAAAAGAAAATCTCCTCTGAAACGAAACAAGGTCCAAGTACATCTTCTGCTCCCTCCGTCTTTAAAACTATTTTCTAATTTTCTTTTATAAATGATCCAAAGTAAACTTTTTATTTCTATAATATAAAAAAAAACATGTTATTAATTAAACAATTTTCCTTATTCTTTCTAGATATTGCTTGGATTTACATAAATAAGGGTGAGTTTCAAAAGTGAAAACAAAATTTTGTTTTACATAGTCAAATTTGAAACTTTTATTTGGAACAGAGGAGTGAAAATTAAAATATCTCTCGTCCATTTTTATGCAAAAAACTTATCTACATAAAACTTGCCTGGTTTTAATATTCGTTACGTTTTATAATGGTACTTCCTCCGCTTTTAACAATCACATATTCCTTTTACGATTTTTTTTTTCATTTTCCCATCCTTACATTTTTAATAAGTTTTTTCCATAAAAATATTTGTATACCATCACTTTTGTTATCTCTATTTTATTTTCCTTTTCCTACGTACTTTTTAATAACTTCTCTCGTCTTAATAAATTACGGAGATATATTTTCTTTCATATTTTATTATTTGTCATGCATCCTCTATATGACTGTTATTACTATTTTCTTTTTAAAATCGCAAGGAGTCTAGTGGGACGTGTAAAAAAGAAAAGACAGGTATTTTTTTCTTAGTGTGTATTTATTATTTATACAAAAGTACTCCTTCCTATAGCTAACGAGTCTTGTTGCGCATAGAGGCACACAAATTAGTTTTTCTATTTTTAGAAAGAGTCATGCTTGGTTGTACACGTTTTTTGTATAAACCTTTGGCACACTTGTCTATCTAAGAAGACAGAGTTATTTGTATGGAGACAGCTATATCCTCATAGATGGACAAGTGTGTCAAATGTGTACACCAAGTGAAGCTATGTCGAATTCTTTCAAAAAGCTTATTTTAGAACGGTGTTATGTGGCTATGTGCTAACAGGCGTTGAGCTTACTGAAGGCTGCTTTGACATCTTCATCCGCTCTTACACACGGCTTAGGTCCCTTCTTGCAGGAAGACATACCCTAGCGTCGCCTACATATATGTCTACTTTGATAATCTCCCAAGATCTTCAAGTTCTGTTTACCCAGTATTTCTTTTACCTAGCATAGTAATTTCATTACCTGCTTAGTTGGTTGTGCGCAAATTGCATCATTGATGCTTCAATTATTGGAATTATTACTCTATTTTGATAGGGAAAAATACTCTAATATTACTAAAACTCATTACTTTTTCATGAATATGACCATATATGTTTTTTCTCTTATCTATGACCAAATTAAACACACATACATGAGCCGGATGGAGTTAGTAAAATAAATAAACGATAATGCCTTTAATGTATAACTATGGTAGTAAAAGAGGGATAACGGTTTGAGAAGAATATGATGATAATTATGGTAGTGATAAATGTTGGATTGGGTGAGTACAAGAAATAATTGGAGGGCAGTAAAGAAATGAACAATTAATTAACTCGCAATAATTGGAGGGCGGTAAAGAAATGAAAAATTAATTAACTTGCAATAATTGGAGGGCAGTAAAGAAATGAACAATTAATTAACTTGCAATAATTGGAGAGCAGTAAAAAAATAAACAATAAATTAACTTTTTCAATAGGATGTAAACACATAAATGACAATAATATGTATGAAGACGGTTAATGACATAGGTTGTAATTAAAGATAATAAATGGATTATTATATTGGTCGATAAATCCTTGTATTTTATATATGATCCATAAATGGAATAGGCAGTAAACATAAAAATGGATGTAAATATGTAAGAGGGCAATAAATGTGTAAGACGACAGTATAATATGTAGAAATCGTACGTTCTAAATAGGAGTAAAAAAGTTTTTGTGTTCCAAATTATGAGTTTCATAATTTTCTTTGCTAAATATGAGTAATTATTGTCATGTTTTGACAGTGGCACACTATGAACATGACATTATTTTTCAAACTTGATAGTAATTATTTTTATTTAGAGGATAAAAACATGACATTCCTTTGACCATAGATTTCTGACTCCGCCATCGGTAGCATGTATAATAATAATAGCAACATAACATATATTTAATACAATAATCTAATAATAATAAACATTGCAAATATGATGTAGGTATGGTTTTTCTTAATTAGGAGTTTGAAACAATGTTTGGTACGATTCCTTATTTTTAGGAGGTTAACAAAGCTATTGAATTGAAATCCATAATTTTAGGAGAAAATAACTACTTATTATTAATGTGTGCGGAATATGAGTGGAAGTAAAATAAATAAATAAATAAATAAATAATAAATAAAAGCATGTGCAAGCTAAGATAAGTCATTATGTGAGTATATGACGTTAGGAAAAAAAAGTGATGAGTCATATACGGGGAACATTATGTTCTTTTAATCATAAGATTGACAATTTTCTCATTTTGATACCTTAATCCTGAAATGAAACAAATTAGTATAATAATTTTTTGCAAGTGTTTCAATTCAATGGGCAACACTATTTAAATTCTCGGCTAAAATTTCATGCTTAGAGTTCACCCTGCAATGATGGCATGCACAAAAGTAACGTAAAGTGGATTTTATTTTAGGATTTTTTGATCGAAAAAAATACAGGATTTTAGGTCTGAGGTCACTTACCGCTGTTCCAGTGCGCGCTGCCCATATGGGTTTTGTTATTTAAAATCATCCAATTTTTAAAATCCCTGGGGTTAGCTTTTTTCACAAATCATCCAACACACATGTATTTCCTTATAGCCACCACACTAAGCATGTCTCCCTAACTGTTGCAGCCAACTTAAATCCATCCAAGAGCATTAGACCTAAGTGCTGACATACACATCTAGCATTTGCACAAAGGTAAAAGATATGGTGTCATAGTTGCATTGTTAGTGTAACAGAAAGGGCAAACCGAAGGGAAGGAACTGTATATACTAGCCAAAACTTCAGGTATGGGCAAACATCCAAACCAAATCTTCCGTAAGAATAGACAAGTCCATAGTGGTCGTGTAGGCTCAAATAGAGGATATAGAAAGTGTAAAACCTTCAGAGCATAAAGAGAGTTATATTATATGTACAAAGAAGTAAGCACCTATCCAAAAACAGTAAAAATAAAGAACAATAATTAGCAACATGATGCAACAAAAAGTAACATGTTGCAACATGATGCAACAAAAATAATGCAACAAAAAGCAACACAAACTTATATTTAATACTATGTATCATGGTTCTCCAATAACCAATTTTGTAACTTTTTTCTTCAATAACCAAGCTGAATTTTATACAAAAATTGAGTAGAGAGTAGTGGTCAACAATGAACAACATGATGCAACAAAAAGAAACAAAAGGCAACACGATGCAACAAAAGACATGCACGATACAACAAAAAGGAACAAAAACCAACATCTAAAACACAAGGTATTTAACGATATATCTAGAGGAACATTAATGGTTTCAGAAATAGTTTCATTTCAACGCATGACTTGATAATAGAAAGTATTTTATATAACAGAGTTCAAACCGCTAGAAGGTACTATTGCACGCAATTGAATATCAATGGTGTAAATGAAAACTAAAAGCATAAGTCATTAAAACATCATAAAATTAGACATTGACAAACAGTAATTGAAAGCACGTGCAATATCATACATTTTTTATTGTTCATAAAAAAATGCGGAGACATGTATGCATATTTCGAAAAATAATAACAACAAATCAGGATATAAAATAAAGCAAATTAAATTAGAGAGAGTTTATGAGTGGAAAGGAAAAAACAGAAGTCAAAAGAAGAATCTGAATCACAACTCAAGCTGATATAGAAAATAATCCTTTACTTCTAAATTTAAAATCATAACAGAAAGCGAATTATAATAATTGAGATGAACAGATTTAATGTTTTCGAATCAAGCACTTTCAGGACATAGATTATAATACGATACAACTTAGCAAATTTAGACTTTTGAATTACAAGTTTACAAATCAACATATTAATGTGAGATCACCTTTACAAAATTAGGTTAGAACCCTAAGAGGTCAGAATTTAAGCCAGAGGTAGATCCGTAGATGGGGGTCAAATTAAGGAGAAATGAATAAATTACGTTTTGCTAGAATTCGTTCATCAGCGACCATACTTGGAGCAGTGCGGCGAGCATGGCTATGATATTTAGGATAAAAGAGGCGACTGGCTGGTTGCCGTCACAGGTTGGGACGATTAGGGACCATGGCAAGTTAACGTCGATTCTTCACAAAGCCGATACGGGAATCGATCGAAGGATTTCATAGAGGCTAGCTAGAGGCTGAGGATTGAAGAAAAGAGAGAATGGAGGTCGAGTGTTTGAGAATGGAGGAGGGAGAGGTTGGAAGAGAAGAGCATGAGAGGAGGAGATTTTTTTCGCTGGGTCCGAAGTGCGGCGATTGATACGGAGGGATCCGAAAAGTAGTCTAAAACTGAAATAAAAAACAGAAACTGAAAATATAAAAGTTAAAAATGAAAAGAAAAAGTAATTGGGTGATAAATGATATTCTAACGCCAATAGTCGACTATGCGGGTATTTTGCACATATTTTGACCGCCTTTTATCACGCCTATAAGGTATGCGAGGCGTCGGGTTGATGCCTTGAGCTTAGGCCCGCCTAGGCGAGGCCTTTTAGAACACTGTCTGTACCATATTAAACCCATATGGGAAATTCTATTTACACTCACTTATTTACTAAATACAGCCACATATTTCTCATATCCCTATTATATCCCTGCTCCGTATTGAATCGAGTGACAGCCCCATGGAATTCTCAATTCTCACAGCTCATATATAGGGAGAAAAATATCAAAATTAAATACGTTACCGATGAACAAATGCCAAAACGTTAATACGGAGTAACACATATGTTTCTATTCATTACAATCCACTGTACGTGCTTTTCTCTTCTTCAAAGCTTGTATATACTACATATCACTTTACGTTTTGCCATTATCTCTTCATTGAAGCTTTTTTCTTCTTCCTCTTATTCGAGAGATCTAATGCACATGCTGATCAGAAAATTCTGATCGAGAAAAGGGCCACAAAGTGCTGCAGAAATATTTACAAAGTAGAAACGTCACCGTCTGCCCCATACCCTAGCTCTTCAACTCCTCATAAGTCACATCTAGATCTCATCAATTTTTTTCTAGAATTTCCCAACTCCGTACGACCCCTTCACTCCATCATTTTTGTTGAAAGGATGATGGGTCGATGATTACTTTGAGGGTAATTTAGATAATCCAATTATTTTGAGGGCTGCAAATAGCAATTTGGTGGCTTTGAATAGAATTACCCAACCCATATTTGTACCATATTAAACGCTCAACCAACGAACATAAGAAACACAATAGGGTGAGGAAGCGCACGTACGGCTCTACCTTGGTCGGAAGTGCCAAATCCGATTGGATTAAAAATTTAAAAAAATCGTTTTACAATAGATATAAATAGATCAATTCAATAGATGCAAACTCATTCTTCAATCCATAGTAAATTTAGAATTTTACAATAGTTAAATTTAGAAGTTTTGAAATTGTTTTAAATTCAAAAAATTTAGAAATTGTGTTAAATTTAGAATTTGAGTTAAATTTTGAATTTAGGAATTTAGAACTAGTTATTTTAGTAATTTTTAAAATTTTAATTTTAGATAGTGAATTTAGAATTTTACAATAGTTAAATTTAGAAGTTTATAAATTTTGTTAAATTCTATAAATTTAGAAATTGTGTAAAATTTAGAATTTGAGTTAAATTTCGATTTTAGGACTTTAGAAGTAGTTATTTTAGTAATTTTTAAAATTTTAATTTTAGATTGTGAAATTTGACATTTAGAGTTAAACTTAGCTAAAAAATTTGAAATATAATATTATACACATTAGGTATTTTAGTTATTGTGATCATAAATTTATTAATTTAGTATGAACTCGTGATTGAATTGCATTTTGGTACCCGGTCGGGTACCCGGCCAAAGGTGTTGAAAAACACCTATAAATAGCACTCTTTTTCTATTCTAAAAATAATCCATTCTTCCATACTCTTAAGCTCGGTTTAGAATAGCATTTCTTTATATTTTTCTAGCTATGTTTAGTCTCCAAATGAGGAGCTAAACTTCCATTCTTGGTGTTGCTCTTGAAACTTGTTGATTATTAAAGTTGTGAGTTATTTTCTTAACTTCTTTCCTTGAATATTAATTAATAGTTCTTTCCTTAATACCATCTCTATATTAATGTTGGGGAGTGTTGCTAAGATGACAATTAGTTAACATCTCGACATGAGTTAGAATGATATTTTCTTCCTCTATATTAATGTTGGGGAGTGTTGCTAAGATGACAATTAGTTAACATCTTGATATTAATTATAGTAGGATTCATCTTCTTTAATAATATTCTTCCTTGAATATTAATTAATTCCTATTCATATTTCATATTAATATTTTGAACATTACTTAAAGGATCAACTAGTTTTGTTTCATATATTAATTATTACTAGAAACGATCAACGAACCGATGGTTAATCGTTGATGGTTTCACAAGTAAGTAACTTCGGTTTATTAATGCACGGTCGTGGTTAATAAACTTAAGAGGGATTAATTTTGTTGGTTAAACCGAAACCGTTGTGTTGAGGTTATCAATCTCAATTGATTTCATCAAGGAGTTAGAAAGATCAAATGCTACTATTAAATCGGTATAAGGCGTTGTTCTATATTTGATTAATAGTAAGGGTTACTAATGAACGGTTGTTGTTAATAACTACCCTCGATGAAGTGGATATACTCCCCGATTGAGTATTTGAGAGGGAATAAGTTATAGATATAACAATGATCGACTAAAATATATCAACAAGTGGAAAGTAGCAATGCCAAGTCCCTTTTATTTTTGAATTAAACACATATAGGTTGTTCATCTTAGTTTCTTAATTGAATTAAATCACTCAAAACCAAAACCCCCCTTTTAATTACTAGTTTCATAGAAAGAAAATCATTCCTTTCCCTGTGGATACGAACTCTACTACGCTATACTACGTATAAGTGTTTAGTATTGAAATTATTTTGACGCACCGTGACAAAGTGCACGTCAAATTTGGCGCCGTTGCCGGGGAAGGGCAATTATTTTTCTTTCTATTTTATTTCAAGAAAAATAAAAAAAAAACATTCAAAAGATTTCTATTTTGCTGAGCTTTGTTTGAGTATATGGTTAAACACCGATCTATAAACCAAATCACCTACCAAACAAAGCCCGAAACAGAACAAGCCTTCGAGAGGTTCAGGAATTTATTTCCGAATACTTCTTCGGAGGAATCATCAAGTGCTAGTTCTCATTCTAGCGACACCGAAGTGCAAATCAATATGGCTCTTGAAACAAGAACGTTGAGGGAGCTCACGGCTCCGAATCTAAATCAACAACCCTTATGTATCACTTTTCCAACTCTTGATACGGGGGTCACATTCGAGCTAAAATCTGGGCTCATTCATCTACTCCCCTCTTTCCATGACCTACGAGGGGAAGATCCAAATGAGCACCTGTCAGAGTTCCATATTGTGTGCACAAGCATGTGCCCCAATGGCGTGTCCGAGGAACAAATCAAGCTGAGAGCCTTCCCATTCTCCCTCAAAGACACCACCAAAGATTGGTTATTTTATCTTCCCTCGGGGAGCATCAATACATGGGCTCAAATGAAAAAGAGATTCCTTGACAGGTACTATCCCGCATCTATCTCTTCAAGTCTCAAGAAGCAAATCAGCAACATTGAGCAAGCGGATAATGAGACCTTGTATGAATATTGGGAGCGCTTTAAAAAACTATGTGCTAGTTGCCCATATCATGGGTATTCGGAACAAGATCTCATCCTCTACTTCTATGATGGACTTGTTGATCAAGATAGACGCATGGTGAATGCGGCATGCGGAGGGGGTATTGTTAACAAAACCCCTTCTCAAGCAAGAGACCTCATTTCGGAGTTGGCCGAAAACTCGAGACATTACAACGGAAGGTCATCATCGAAACGAGTCATGGCAGCGGAATCCAACAACTCGTTGGAGAGTCAAGTAGCCGGCTTGACACTACAAAAAAAATGATTTATAGAGGCAACTCTTCGAGGCAAATTATATTCCGTTGCCACTAAAAGTATGTTTTTGCATCATATAAGTTATGTTTGCCTTTAAAAACTATCATTTGAGACAACCATATTGTAATTGCCTCTAAACCTATCATTTGGGAGCAATCATATTGTGCTTGCCTCTAAAAACTATCATTTGGGAGCAACATTTTTATGTCTGCCTCCAAAGTTTGACACAAAAGCATATGTGCCTCTAAAACATTTGCTTCTAAAAGTTTTTTGAGACAATAACACTTTTACGCCTCTAAAATATATATTTAAGGTTAACTAAATTACGGTTGCCTCTAAATGTGTGTATACACGTAATTGAATTTACACAATAAATTAACATTTTTAAACATGTTTACAGACTTATTATTATTAATTTTATTGGGGACTAAAATTTAATATTTTTTATGCTCACCTTTATATTCCCCTCGACTTAAATTTTCAATTTATTTTGATTATTATTAGTTTTTTTAATTTTTACTAATAAGAAATAAAATATATGAATGACCAAGGTTATACATTAATAAATGTGAGAATAGAAACATTGCAATTAAAAATGAACAAAAAAAGTATTACTTTTTATTAGCGTTGTTTATTACGGAGTACCTTTAATTTTAACTTGAAAAGAGACTAAACATCTCAATTTGCCGCTAAATCTTTTAAGGGTTAGTTTTTGCCGCTCAGATATTTTAAGCTCCCGCACCCGGGCTCTTTTAGTAATATTAGATTTGCCGCTGAAATTTTTATTCTGCCAAGTATCCTTAACCCTAAGACCCAAGAGACTTTTATTTTGCTTCCATCGTTTCTTCTAACTTCAAAGTAGGTCCAAATAAGGGAAAGGGAAACGGCAGGAGGATAGAAGACTCATCGCGAAGGGAAACCGCAGCAGCGAGAGGATAGAAGACTCAATCGGCAAGAGAGATCGGAGATTCAATCCAGCAGCGCTTATAGGTCGATTGCCGCTAACTGCTACAGTCTTTGTTTTAATTTTGAGCGTCAAACCTAGGTCTTTGTTTTAATTCGCCTTCCTCTCCCCCGGAACTAGGATTTCAGCCGTCGAATCCGCTCTTGTGGCAGTCCATCTTCTCTATCCCGGTCTGGAGCTGTGATTCCTGTCGAAGAATATTCATTAGCAGGTTAAATTTGCAGCGGTAACTTCTTTTTTTTTCTTCTCTCTCCCTGGAGCTACTATTCCCGTCGAAGAAGCTAATGGGTTCATTTTAATTTGCAGTGGAGACCCTAAATCCCAACCTGTCTTCGTCTCTCCTGTGGACCTGCGATCAGCGTCAGGGGAAAAATCTCCGCATCAGGTTTCATCTACTGAACTTCTCCTATATTAAGTTTTGAAAATAATCAGTTTTTTCTTAAATTAAATTAGGATTTCTTATTAATAGTTTTCAATTTGAAATTGTTACTATTGAAGAGATTATGTTCTTTAAGTTATCCGGCCTGGCTTCCATTTTCATATTTCCACTGGTCCAGCCTTGCAGGTGAATTAAGGAACTTAAAATCCAACAAGGTCCTTGATACATGATAATGTGATCTTATTCAGTAACATAAAACATTTATATAAAGGTAGTGCTTAATAATTGCATCAAATATATAGGTGAAAACACTTAAGCTTTTACACTTGGTGCACGATTTGAAGTAGTTACATAATCGTTTAGTTTATTTTGTTCATTCTTAGTAATTAGATAAACTGAAATTAACTAGTTACGGGAAAATTTACAAGCTACTGGAAAACCATCTATACATATGTTTTTCTGTTAACAATAAATATGTATGTATTGTAATGATAGGAAAATAAAAATATGGCTATGGACGTTGAATGTATCATGAACCTGCCCGACCTTAACAATCCCATTATCTACTTCTTTCTATTTATTGTACATCCGAATTGTATTTGAAATGATAATTGAAATTTTTTTTCCTGAAAAAAATCCCTGCTTGAAGTTACTGTTGGATCAGGGAGTTTTCGGTATGCTATTGTATTTCGTCATCTGTGGTATTTGTTCATCTTTGCTTATGCGATTGAAGAATTCTATGGTTCACTTTGATCTTTATCGCTTTCATAACCATGCATTCAAATAATTTATTCATCTGCGTAAATAATTTAATTTTTTTATTCATTTGCTTTATGTGATGTTTGAACTTTGAATAACATATTTGATGGGTTTAGACTTTAAGACCTCAATTTTTGTTGGTTTTTATTATGATATTTGTTGATTTTATGATTATTTGATTCTATTTTATTTTAGATTATTTTTAGTTTTCATATAAATCTGTGTAAAGAGAGGGGCTTAACCAGTAGCTGAGGCTATAAGAATATGATAGTTATTCAAATATAGTTACAAAAAACACATTTAGAGTCAATTGCATAACCAATAGCTTTTTATCATGTGCATCTCTTACATGATTATTTGAGTATGTTTTTGATTGACAAATTTTCTTCTGTTTATATATTAGTTACCCATATGATTTATCCTTCTTATATGAATATTTGTAAATCATAGAACATTATTATGGAATCCAAGAATCGTGAGTGGATGCAGTATAAAAAAAATGACCCAAAGTATAAGACCGGTGTGAAACAGTTCATAGAGTTTGCTTTTTCTCAAAAAAATGTGCAAGATGTAGTACCTTGTCCTTGTGTAAAATGCAATAATGAACTGAGGAAAAATAGAGAGGAAGTAGAGCTGGATTTGCTGAAATTTGGAATTGTGAGGAGTTATACACGCTGGTTACGACATGGGGAAAGAACTGGCAGTTTGACAACTCATAACGATATTACACCTCAGTCAACTCAAGATCCTGAATTTACTTCTATGTTTGATATGCTACATGATGCATTCAAAATGCCACGACAAGAAGATGCAGTTGGTGAAGAAGATAATGTGAGCGGATATGAAGACCCTCCAGAATCTGTTGATAAGTTTTACAAACTGATGAGTGATCTTGAGTTAGAGTTATATCCGGGTTGTAAGAAATTCTCAAAGCTTTCCTTTTTGCTTAAGTTATTCCACATAAAATGCTTAGGTGCAATAAGCGATAAAAGTTTGGGCATGCTTCTTGAATTATTTAAAGAAGCATTACCTCCAGGAAACACCTTGCCAGATTCATATTACGATGCTCAAAAGATAATAAAGAATTTATCTCTTGAGTCCCAAAAAATCGATGCATGTCCCAATAATTGCATGTTGTTTTGGAAGGAGTATGCGGATGCAGAGGAATGTGTAAAATGTAATGCTTGTAGATGGAAAAAAAGAGAACATACTAGCATTCCTCCTACTTCAAAGTCTAAGCCTAGAAAGATTCCTTATAAAACCATGCGTTATTTTCCATTGATCCCTAGGCTGCAGAGAATATATATGTCTTCCAAAACAGCATTAAATATGAGATGGCATCAAGATGAACGAGTTGATGATGGGGTAATGCGACATCCAGCGGATTCTAAAGCCTGGAAATCTTTTGATGAACGATACCCATCATTTGCATCTGAGTCGCGAAATGTTCGCCTTGGTTTGGCAAGTGATGGGTTTAGCCCATTTAGAAACGGACATATTACTCATAGCACATGGCCAGTAGTTCTCATCCCATATAACCTACCTCCGTGGTTGTGTATGAAGCAGCATTCCTTAATGCTTTCCACACTTATCCCTGGTCCTCATGGGCCTAAGGAAATGATAGATGTTTACTTGCAGCCATTAATAGAGGAGTTGAAGTTGCTTTGGGAAGTTGGTGTTGAAACATATGATGGTTCAAGGAAGGAGAAATTTAAAATGTTCGCTGCTGTACTATGGACAATAAGTGACTTCCCGGGTTATGGTGATCTTTCTGGTTGGAGAACTAGTGGAGCTGTTGCTTGTCCGTCATGTAATAGTGAGACTTGCTCTTACTGGTTGAAAAACGGAGGCAAACACTGTTACATGGGTCATCGCAGATTTTTACCAGATGATCACGCATGGAGATATGACATGAGTAGCTTTGATGAGAAGATTGAGTTAAGGCCAGCGCCTGTGGTGTTATCGGGTGATGAAATTCTGAACCAATTAGCTAACGTTGAAGAAGTTACATCGACTTCATTCAAGAGTAACACTAATAAGAGAAAGATAAAACAACTTTGGAGAAAAAAAAGCATTTTTTTTGAGCTGCCATACTGGAGTAGTCTTCTATTACGTCATAATTTGGATGTTATGCATATCGAGAAAAATGTGTGCGAAAATATACTTGGGACCTTACTAAATATTGAAGGGAAAAGTAAGGATAATTTGAATGCACGTCTTGATTTGGAGGAGATGAATATAAGAAAATCACTGCATCTGAAAAGGTGCATAGATGGTACTATGAAGATTCCTCCGGCTCCTTACACATTATCTTCAAAGCAAAAAAAAGACTTCATTAAATTCTTGACAAGTGTGAAGTTTCCTGATGGGTATGCTTCTAATATTTCACAAAATGCCTTGCTAAAAAAGCGAAAATCTCGGGGTTAAAAAGCCATGATTACCATGTTATAATGAAGCATTTGTTACCTCTTGCAATACGTCATTGGCCTAGTACTTTGTCCACGCCACTTATTCAATTGAGCGCTTTTTTTAGAGAGTTATGCTCCAAGACATTAAAGACTGATGAGTTAGAACATCTACAAAAGCAGATAGTTGATATACTTTGTGAGCTAGAAAGAATTTTCCCACCTTCTTTTTTTGTTATTATGGTACATTTGCCTATACACCTACCAAGAGAAGCTATCGTCGCAGGAGGTGTTCCTTATCGCTGGATGTACCCCATTGAGAGGTAATATAAATTTGAACTTGCGTTCTTTATTACTTATTGCTAACGGTATACTAGATATATAATTATTTGTTTTGTCTTTTATTCATTAATTTAACAGGTATCTTTTAAAATTGAAAGGGTATGTTCGCAATAAAGGTCATCCCGAGGGTTCAATGGCAGAAGGATATCTTTTGGAGGAGTGTTTGACTTTTTGTTCAAGATATATGGAGGATATAGAAACCAAATTTACTATGCAAGATAGAATTTCAGATGATTGTCATATGCATTCATCAGTGGATTCTCTGTCTATTTTTATGACAAGAGGCAGGGCATTGGGGAAGGTGACTCCTAAATCAGTAACAACAAGTGAATGGGAAGAAATCCACTTTTTTGTGCTGAACAATTGTGATGAAGTTAAACCGTTTATGGAGTAAGTTTTATTAAAGCATTTTTTAAATCATTGCATAAAGTTCTGTTTAATATTAAATATATTTATTGTAGTGAATATCATGGAGAAGCTGCAATTAGCACAATGAACACGTCCAGTCAGAAAAGGAAATTCATTTTATGGTTTAAAGAACGAGTAAGTTTGTAATGAAAAACTGGACATGCTTTTTTTGTCTCATTTGTATTAATTTTTGCAATACATTTTTTACGCTACCTATAGGTGATAAAACTATCCAAGGAAAATCACTCAAGTGTCATAAAACATTTAGTAGCACTAGCACATGGCCCAAATCGCGCAATCACTGTTGTGAATGGCTACATGGTTAATGGATCGTTGTTTCGCACAGTCGAGTCTGAAAGTGGGAGGGAAACACAAAATAGTGGTGTTGTTGTGAAGGGAGAAAGTGTAACAGAAAGTATTGAGTATTATGGGATCTTGCAAGAAATTTTAGAGGTTCAGTACATTGGAGGGAACCACGTGACATTGTTTAGATGCAACTGGTGGGATGTTCACAATCATGATCGGGGGATAGTTATTGATCGTTTTGGTTTTACTAGTATCAATCCAGCCAAAGTATTAACTAATGATCCTTACGTCTTTGCATCTCAAGTGGAACAAATTTTCTATGTTGATGACGTTGTGAGACCGAACTGGAAGGTGGTGGTTAAGACAAAGCCAAGAAACTTCTACGATGTTATTGAGAAACCAAATGAAACAGATAATATGGATGATGCATATCCATAAATATTTTGCCCTCTCATTGGAAAAACATTGTTGTCTGGTTGTCTTTAAGCATGAATATTTTATTGTGTTATTACTATTCACTATGAATACTCTTTGTTTAATTATTTGATTTTTTTTTGTTCTGCAGAGTTCAGATGTTACAATAATTTTATGAGTCAATATATTGATTTATCATTGGTGTTTCTGGTTGAGCATAGATATATTTCATGTTTTATACTTTGTTTTTTAAAGCTGCTTTATATTATTAGCTTTATAATGTCAAGAGTTGGAGGAAAAACACAAGTAGAGCAGGAACAGATGAGGCACCATGGGTATGAACAACAAAGGCTCAAGAATATTGAAGCTAACAAGTTCATAATGAAATCTTTGGGTATAAAACGAATTGCTGCTTCAAAGTTAAGCTTGGTCGATAGCACAACAAAAAAGAAAAGAAAGATGAAATCTAAATCTAGTGTTGAGGAAGTTGCTGATAATGGTCCTGTGGAAGATAACAATGAAGTAGAGGCTATTATTCCTGTTGCAAGAAGGGTATTTTAGCTGTCAACTCTATTTACTGTTTTGTTGATCTGTAGTTATTATGTTAGTAGGAATATTCAAATAACTTGGTATTTTGTTTGATATTTCAGACTAGAGGTGCACAAGTGAAAGGACTGGCAGAAAAGCGGAACTTCATACCACCATCTTCACTTGCCAAGTTGTGTAGAACAAATAAAAAGCAGCAATCAGTATTAGGAAATGAGGCACTTCGATCATTGTCTAGTGTGATTAAAGATGTTCAGCAAGGTTAAAAGTTGCACTTCAATTATTGATCTCATTTTTCTATTACTTGCATATTCATGGGCATTAAAAGTGAAATACATGATCAGACATTACTAGTCCGGAACAAGAGACTGATCAAGACCCCATTGCTTTTGATGAAGGTACAAATACCTTCTAATTTATTAAAGCAAAGACACACACTCATACACATGCATATATAGATAAGTATATTATAGTAACTATATTTTATCGGAACATGCATGATATAGATATGGACGAGCAACGTAATGGAAACAGTGAAGATTCTATTATGGAGAAAGGTATATAGTATGTGTGTGTGTATTAAACTCATTATAACATGAGAGTTTTATTATGGTGCACTCTTTATACGTAGATGATGAGTATATATTAATTGTTAAACTCATATATATGATGAATATAGTCTTGTTCAGGATTTGAAGTGCTTTGTGTTCTCTGTAATCTCCCTCCACTTTAAAATCAAACCATTATGACTTGATTTCTGTTAATGCTCTGTAAGCTAGACTTTTGTTAACCTTTTATCTCCAGTTCAACGTACTGGAGTTGGAAGAAGCTAAAGAGGGACTGTAATCTTGCAGTGATAATCACATATTTGATATTTGAACTTTGAACTTAGCAAGTTTTCCTTGCTGAACCCATTGTTTTTGGTGCTTTTCATTCACGCAGAATAGAATAATCACATATTTGGTATTGAAAATAAAAAAATTAAAACATATTATACTTTTATTGCAGTTGTTGTAACAAACAATTGATTAATATTTGTTATTTTATGTTATTTATTATACGTAATATTAGATGATGATGATGAAGATGTTGCCACTCTAAGCATCACGACTAGATATGATAGTGATCCACCTGATGCTCTCATGGCAAGAAATGATAAAGTTCATGGTATTTTTCCATGTTTATTGTGTTTTTATTGTAACCTTTGTATCGTATAACACTTGTTGTATTAATATGAATTGTGCTGTATTAATGGAATTTTTGTTATGTTAAGCAGTGAGTAAGAAGAAGAAAGTCTACAAGACAAAAACTCCCAGAGGTCCTACAAGAAATCTTTTCATGGCTAAAATGAGACCCGGTGAGAAGAAACGGGTAGATTTTAACATAAAGGGCCAACCTATCGGTATAAATAGAGCTAGCTTAGCAAATTATTGTGGTGCCCTTGTTAGAGATCCTCTAAATGCACCCCTTTATAATGTGAAAGATTTTTCTGAAATTCCCGAAACAAATAAAGAGACGATGTGGGAGCTTATTCTGGTATGAAGATTATACGAAACCACATATACATTTTTCTATGCATCTATTCTTCTTCTTTTTCTTCTTTTTAAATAAGAACACTTTATTTTGTAAGGAAAAATTTGATATTGGGCTTGAAGATGCAGAGGATGAAGAGTATCGTGAAAAGATTAAAAAAGAGAGACAAAGAACTTTGATGAGATCTCTGAACAAGAAATACAGGAATTATAGAGCAAGACTGAAAAGTACTTTTTACGATACGCATGAAACAGATGCTGACCGGTTGAAAAAAGAAAACAGACCACCATATGTTGATGAGAAGGACTGGAAATGGCTTGTCCAGTATTTTGGTTCTCCTGATTTTCAGGTATTCAAATGTGTGTTGAATGTTCATATAAACGGTCAAGTACCCACATATTGCAGTTTTTATGTTTATCCATTTGATTTACAACACTCATATTGCAGCACCCACTAGTAATAACAAATTTGTTGTATACACAATTTGTTTAATTGATCATGACATTTGGTTTCTGTGATAGAAAATGAACAAACGAAACAGTAATAACCGCTCATACCTTGATGCCGGACACACCGCTGGTTCAAAGAGTTTTGCTCAAGTTGTAGAAGATATGGTAATATTAATATGTTTATCGTGATTTTTTTATTAATTTTTTTTTTGAAAAAAAGATTAATAACAATTTTTCTATCATGATAGTTCCAAGATGATCAAGTAATGCCCGGTGTGTTGAAAGTGTATCAGAAGACTCATACCAGAAGTGATAAAACTCCAGTGACAAATGTTGCCAAAGAAACTATGGTAAATTTCAGATTGTCATCTATCTATTCATCTATCTTGTGTGTGTGTTTGTTTGTATATGAGTTCATTACTTGAAACACAATACATGTTTGTCTTCTGCTTAATTACATAGTTAGATAGGTCGATTTAGAAGAAGGCATACTTGCTTCCATACTGTTTATCAAATTGTTGGATTGCATATATAGTAGTTGGACACTAGTTCCCACTAATGGAGTTGTAGTTTCAATTTGTTTGTTGAAGTTATACACTATTTATCAGGAGTAAGTAGGTAATCAGCTTTTCATTTAAAATAAAAAGTGAGTGTTCAATAAAAAAAGTGTGGCAGAACATAGTTTCAAATTTTACATAGTTGCAGATTTTACATAAGGTTATTATACACTTCTAGTACAGATTGTATATCCTACCATTACTAGTAAATGCAGATTTTTTATAAGGTTAATTATATCGGTTGCAGGTTCAACTTGTTTCTCATATTCTTTGACTTATACTAATTGCATATATTGTATATTTGGATGCAGTTAAAAATAAATAAGCTTGTAGAGCAGCGTGAACAAGGAGAAATCAACATGACAGATGAAGAAATTTATGCAAAAGTTAAACCCAAAGGTAAAAATGATCGTGATCGTGGAAAGGGAGTAAGTCCGTCCATTACTTCCTTGTTTGGGTCGTTTAGTGAAGGAGAGAAATTTCGCAAAGAGGCTGAAGAGGCAAAGAAGGAAGCTAATGAGGCTAAAAAAGAAGCTCACGAAGCTAAGGCAAAAAATAAAATGCTCACTAAGGAGGTGAAAATTTTCAAAAAAGAAGTAAGAATTATGAAGGGTGTTATGGGGAAGTTTTTCAACCTTATGGGAGGCGATTTTTCAAAGTTATTTTTGAATGAGGTAATGCATTATTTTATTTTCCATTATTTTTGGTTTATATTTTTTTAGTTACCGAAAATACTTGTCTACCGTTATTATATGTTATAGGTTGAAAAGGAGCATAAAAAAGTCCATGATGATGATAGTAGTGATGGTGATGGTGATGATGATGATGATGATGATGATGATGGTGGTGGTGATGATGATGACAATGATGATGATGATGATGATGGTGACGATGATGATCGTGATGATTGTGATGATAGTGATGCTGATGATGAGGAATGAACTTTCTTAAACATTTATTTTAGCTTGTAGACATAATTTGTCCCATCTTAATGTTTTTAGTAGTTGCTAAATTAACTCTAGCTAGCTAGTTTCTTTTTTTCTTAAGTTGTGGAGGTGCAGATGAGATTGAACAAATTAAACAATGTACTGGTGCAGTTACTCTTTAAGTAATTAATTTAAGCTAAATTTTGACTTTCTATATTATTCTACAAAGCAAGCATTTAATTAATTTATTGATGCATGTTATTAGCTATTAATTTATTTATATATTAATATATCTAAAGTACAACGAGCAATGTATGGTATATTAATATACGACAAAATGACAATGATATAATGTTGCCTCTAAAAACAATTCACAACAATACTAAAAGTTGTCTCGCAATATTATTTAAAGCACAATGTAATATAGCCTCTAAAAACTTTTTGAGTCATTAAATATGGTTGACTCTAATTGCATTATAAGACAACATAGCATGGTTGCCTCGAATGACATTTTGAGGTGAAATAATATGGTTGCCTCTAAATATGACTTTTTAGAAGCACGTCCTTTGTTGCCTCTAAAGGGGTTTTTTAGAGGCAAACACCATTTAGCGACCGATTTTTTGTTGGCAACCACTAAATTGCCTCCAAAAACCTTTAGAGGCTATTTTCTTATATTTAGAGGCAATTATGTAATGCCTCTACAAGCCAATTTTATTGTAGTGTGACTTCTTTGGTTAAAGATTTCCTTTTAAATCCAAAAACCCAAGAAGTCAAGGTCTACGGCATCTGTTCAACGCAAGGGCATCCCACAGATTCTTGCCCAACGCTACAAGAAGAGAACTTCGAGCAAGTCAATGCTTTGGGGTTCCAAGGTCAAAGGAGGTACGATCCTCAAGGCAATACTTACAACCCGGGATGGAGGGATCATCCGAATTTAAGGTACGGAAATTCTCAAACAAATCCTCCTCCTCAACAATACAAACCACAAGGCCAAACATCGAACTCGAGTATATCCACCGAAGACATGATTCGAGCGCTGGCCGTTAATATGGGAACAATGCAGCAAAGCATGGGGAAATTCCAACAAACCATGATGCAATTCCAACATGAAACCAAGTCGAGCATTCAAAATTTGGAAACTCAAGTTAGCCAAATTTCAAATGTCGTAAGTCGACTTGAAGCAAAAGATTCGGGTAGGCTCCCCTCCCAAACTGTGCAAAACCCAAGACAACATGGCAATGCAATCATGTTGAGGAACGGTAAAGAATTGCAACCACGGGAAGTTGAGGAGGAGAAGCAAGAGATTGATCTTGAAGAAGGCTTTCAACAAGAAGGGGAGAATCCAACGAAGACTAAATTCCCTCCACTGTCATCATATGAACCACTCCCTCCATTCCCTGAGGCATTGAAAGACACGAGGAAGCTGAAGAATGATCGGGACATCTACGAAACATTCGTCAATTCTGAGGTAAACATCCCACTCTTCAAAATGATCAACAGTGTTCCCCGTTATGCAAAGTTCTTAAAGGAACTATGCACAATGAAAAAGAAAAATAAACTGGAAGGGAAACAAAAAGTTGAAGTGAGTGAACGTGTCTCGGCCATTTTTAAAAAGAAACTTCCTGAGAAATGTAGCGATCCAGGCATGTTCACTATTCCTTGCAAAATAGGGGATACCTTATTTTCTAAGGCCTTGTTGGATTTAGGAGCGTCAATAAATGTCATTCCTTATTCCTTATATAAATCCTTACAACTCGGCCCACTACATCAAACTGGTGTAGTGATTCAACTAGCGGATCGGTCTAATACTTACCCGAAGGGTGTAGTAGAAGATGTGCTAGTAGAAGTAGAAAATTTGATTTTCCCTGTTGATTTTTATGTTCTGGAAATGGGAGATGATAACCAAACTACACCCATCCTCTTGGGTAGGCCTTTTCTAAAAACCGCAAAAACAAAAATAGACGTGTCTAATGGTTCATTAACTTTAGAGTTTAATGATCAAAAGGTAGAATTCAACATTTTTGATTCTACGAAAAAACAAATTAAAGACCAATCTCTTTGTTCTCTAAATGTTTGTGAACCACAAACCCCGAATATTTTTGTTGAGAAAAAAATGAGAAAATCAAACTTTTTGAAAAAGAAGAATTATTCAAATTTTCAAAAAGAAAATGGATCCCACCTGGGATTGAAGTGATACCAGAGAAGAAATCCCGGCCTTACTGGAGAGGGCCGAAAAAGAAAAATGAAACAAGGGATGTTCACGATCCCACATAAATATATATATATATATATATATATATATATATATATATATATATATATATATATATATATATATATATATATAACGTCGTGCCGCGACATTAAATCAAGCGCTTCTTGGGAGGCAACCCAAGTTTTTATTTTTAATTTCATATTTTTTCAGTTGTGTGTGTTATAATTTTTTTCAAAAAAAAAAATGAACCTGGGCTGAAACCCGGCCGGGTATCTCAAACAGCCCGGTCGGGTTTATTAATAAAAAAGAATACCCGGGCAACACGGCCACCGGGTTGCTAACGGAAAAAAAAAAGCATATGCCCGATCGGGGGCTTCTAAAACCCGACCGGGTCTGTGCATATTTTTGGCTCTGAACACACTGGAATGCATACCCATTCGGGTATTTCTGAAACTCGGGCGAGTACGCATTTAATTTTAAAAAATCAGCAAGACCCGACCGGGTACCCTAAAGCACCCGACCGGGTAGTCGTTCCAGTAGCTACTGGATAAGAAACACCGCACAGCCCGACCGGGTGGAAGACCTCACCCGACCGGGTGAACTGGGAATTCGAACTTAACCAGGTCGGGCGACCAACTCCCCATCCCACCTCATCTTCCTCCCCACGAAAAAAATCCTCAAAACCCTCCATTTTTACACACCAAAACCTTCGATTCTACACCATTTCTCCACCAAATCCACTAAATAACACCATAATCTTCATCTCCTCAATCTTCTCAACACACCCATACCCATAAAAATCCCATTTTCTTCCTCATTTGCAAAAATCCGAAACCCTAACCCCCATTCCCCAATGTTCTGATTTTTCTACTAAAAATCCCAAGAAATCCCAATTTCTTCTCCTAATAATCATCCTCTCCACTCTCACAACCCCAAAATACCCAAGACCCACCAAAATTCCAAAGTTCCAAACCCCACCCCACCCAAGTCCGAAAATCACTCAAAAACAAAACCCAAAAAAAGGGACTTCAATGGCTCCAAGAAAGTCAAAAGCCTCTTCCTCAAGGGGAAATCGAGCTATCCCACCGGTAGCGGGCTATGAGAGCGTGGAGTTTGCTACGGAGGCTCAACGGAAAAACTTCATCAACCAAGCAAAGAGGGAGGTAAAACAATCCCGTTTTATGTGCTTAACTACTTTAGCACTACTATGGATTGATACTGTGATGCGTGACATATTTGCAAGAATTGGAATATCTAGAATGTTTGAAATGCAATATGTGACATATCCTCATTTGGTGTATGAATTTTTTAGCTCATTTGCGTATACAAAAGATGTGAATGATCATGCAAATGACATAATCACCTTTCGTTTACTAAATGAGGATCGTTCATTAACCAAAAGAGAATTTGTTCAACATTTTGGTCTCCCATGGTTTGATGAAGCACGTACATATGATTCTCTTGTGGGGTATGAATTGTGGAGAAGAATGACCGGAAAGAATGTGGTTGATCTATCTAAACTGAGTGTGAATCGTGTGCAACATCCGGTCTTCCGACTATTCTTAAACATTTGCTCAAATTGTTTCCTCAGAAGACCGAATAATCATCACACACGTATTCGGGATGTGTGTGTTCTAGCACAAGCTGTTTTACCGGACCCAGATCAAGTTGATGTTCCCACCATCTTATGGACTCATTTCAACAACGTGGCAACATCAACATGACCAATTGCTATGGGGGGCCTAATCACACATCTAGCCACTTTATATGGTTTTATAGACCCCGGCCCCATCACCTCAAGACACCTTATTTGCACTGAATGGCTTTTACAAAAGACGCTAGACTTGGTCCCCTCGCACACAACACCAACTGGGGCACACATCTATAGTTGGCGCATTCTCTCACGCACTTCCATCTACCTCCAGATACCCTCGGCCGACGTCCCCCTGGATATCATCAATCACCAAATCGGGGATGGTCATCACTATTGTCTTCCCGGGGCAATCCCGGATCATTATGAAGAACCCATCCAAGATGAAGATGATGAAGAACCCCCAATCATACCCGAACAACCACAACCTCAAGCATTCCACTACACACCTTTCGAGCAACAAATGCTCGATAACATGGTCACGCTCAACCAGAGCATTGAGAGGATGGAGGAGCAGCGGCAAGCAGACTGGCGTAGGTATGAGGAGGACAGGCGGAGATCTGAGGAGGATCAGCGTAGGACCTATGGCGCTTTATATTCCTATGTAGCACATCAGAGTGGATTTGCATCTATGGCAAATCCCCCTCCCGCACCCTCTTGGTACGATCCGACTACATGGGGTTATTTTGGAGACTCGAGTTCCGGTGGTGGAGGCAATGATGGTGGTTATGGCGGGGACCACATGGATGAAGACAGACACCACGGTGGAGGTATGGGCGGGCACTAGGGACAGTGCCAGGTACTAAGTGTGGGGGTGTTAAGATTATTCTGGTAAGCTCACAATCCTACTCTTTTCATTTTTATCTTCAAAAAAAAAACAGCTTGTTAAGTTGAAAACCCACAAAGGACAGCTTAAGCAAAAATAAAGCAAACAAAAAAAAAATAAGAGTGAGTTGTGAGATTCATTAAAGAAAAATGTGGGAAGCTGGGTTGAAAACCTGAAAGGGCACCTACGGCAAAATGAGAGAATGAGAGAAAGTTATTTCTTTTGATTTTGCAGGATCCTGAGGGTGATTACTATAGAGAGTTCGTCGGATGAGGAAATTGAAATTGAAGACCCATCTTTACTCTTTTTGTTTTGGAGATACTTTATGTATTTGTTATAAACACTTGTGGATGTTGGTGCTGCTACTCTTGTCAATTAAGGACTTCTTGAACATAATTTGTTTTACTCGAGACGAGTAAAAATTCAAGTGTGGGGGTGTTTGATATGCACTAGTTTATAGTGCATAAATGTATGTTTTTATGTTGATTGGGTGTGGATTTTCCATCGCTTTTAGTTAGTTTGTAAGTACTTGTTTTATTTTGTTTGTAA